CCAAGAGGTCTTGCTTTAGTCTTCCTCCACCTCTCCGGCACATTATAATGATATCTTCACATTCACAGGAGCTATTACTGGCTCATTAGTCTGAATCATAGAAGAATTACACATGAGAGTGGAGCAGGGTACTCGGAATATTTAGCTCAGGAGTCAGGGGTTAAGTTCCCAATCAAAATGGTCAGGCAGATGTATTCAGACAGTTTAATATTGGCCATTGTAGAAGTAAAAATTGTAATCTCATACTGGCACAGCTGCCCCTGAAGGCAACTCAAACAGTCATAAGGAGGGGGTTGGTGTTTTGAAGCACCCTGTAGCATTGGTATAATTGTGTTGGAATTGCAGCCACCTTGAACACTTCTCAGACAGTGTCCTTTCATACAGTCTTGTGCCACGTGCATGCACAGATCTGCCTCGCATGGAAACCACATTATAGACTCAAATCAAATACTTTAATAATATGTTTTGTTCTCAGCCACATTTGTTCTCAGCCACACAGAACAGAACCACAAGAGGGTGCCAATGATGAAGACCACAGAATGCCAGCACATCGCACACAATGATGATTTATAGCGCATAATTTCACCTGTTGGATTGCTTTATTATTATAATTTGTGTCCATTGGTGGTATATGGTCAGTTTGACTCCCCTTCCCCCCCAGGGTGCCATGGTCCTGTCCTCTTGCTGGGTTCAAACTAATGACTAGTGACATCCAGTGAAGGGAGCGAGCTGTTTGCAGTCAGCAGTGCGTTTGTTGGTAATTATTTTCCACAGTGTCACATTAGTGTCAGCCTCGTGGTAGAGGGTGGAGTGGGGCACAGTGTCAGATTTGGTGATTTTTCTTTGTTTGCTCAGTGATGCCAATGAGGACTTTGAACTGTACTCATAAGACCAAACAAAAGACAAATAATTTAGAGAGCTTGAGTGTTTATTACTGTTTTACTGTACTGTATTACTGTGAATAAAGCAGTGTAATTTATATATGATGTGAGATACTTTAAAATCTTCCATTTCTTTGAAGTTGTATTTAATGCTTTAATGTGCATTCCTCTACTGTCCGGTGATGACCCGCTTTAGTGAAGTGGTCAGATACTTTTTCTAAAGTTTGCGTACGTTCCTCAATTATGGATGATTTAAGTGCCACAAATAATTTTCAAATTCTGCCTTTTTAAAATAAGTGTTGGAAATTTCTTAAGTGATATTATATTCCATGCAATCACATATTTGTGTTTACAGATAGTAAAATATTTCCTGTTGAATTGGTGGTAGGATGGAGTCAAGCCTAAAGACTTATTTACCAGTGATACTTGTTTCACCATATTTTTATTTCACATTTGAAAATGACAAATTAAGTTTGATTTTAAGTTTAATGGCCAAAAATTAGGCGTAATATTTATTGTTAAAAATGACAAACAGAGTACATATCCAAGCATAACAACAACATTTAGATTCCCCCACACAAAAAGTGTGACTGCCACCAGGACATTTGAGAAATACTTTTTGCAACAAAAATGCACATATTGAAATTCTGTATAACATGTGCTATGTAAAGGACAGATGAAAGGGAGCAGACTCATGGTTATTGACCTTAACTTACTGGTGTGGACCAAAACTCTCTGCAGACCGATTTAGGATCCCACTGGGGAAGTTGTAAAGTGATAGGAAACTGACAAACAGCCTATTGTTGCAGCCTTTTCAAATGGGAATGTCTTCAATCTGCATATTTTAGTGAATTGAAGAGCAAGGTAGCGCTGGAACACATGCAGGCAGTACACCCAGAGTGGGTGTGCTGTGAATGTGAATGCACTCGTGTGCGCCCCTTTGGGAGGAAGTGATCAATGATTGAGACCATAATGCACCTCTCTGTATTCGCGCTCACATGTGCGCTCACTGCTGCTTTTGCGGCTGTCAGACGCTCACACACTTCCAGTTTTAGTGAAGCTACATTGTCACGTGTTGGACAGCTCATCTCTCACACGTTAATCTGCACTCCATCTTGTAGCTGTCTGCTGGATGGCCTCTGTCGGCTCACTTCCACTCGCTCCCTGGCAGACTGCTGTGCTCTGGAGCCGCTGTCTCTTCTATGTTAATATAGTGGATAACCTCTCTCTCTTAGCACAACTTCAGGCGGTCTCTGTTGATACTGAGGAGAGCGTAGAACTACCAACTCCCTCGGAACACAGCAGCATCTTCACCACAAAGTGACCTCTGATCAATCCTCCACAGACGCTCCGCTCCGCCTCTTATTGTTATAGCCGTCAAAGATGTTAAGATAAACGCATTTCTTGTTTTGGTAACTAAATGCCTTGCTGCAGGCGATATGAAGAAATTGAAGTATTATTCGTAATTGGTTTGAGTAAATTATTGTTGCAATAACAGTTAACAACAAATAGAAATAAAGAAAAAAATAGAGGAAAGTGAAGATGCCACTTTAATGAACTGTAAAGTACTTTGTGTTAACTTAAGTTTCTATTGAAATTAAGTTGATCAGCTCTATACTATCCCATACAACAAGATCTTCATGTACCGCACCTAAAATAATTAGTGTTAACAACATGTCTAAATCTTCATAAATCCCAATATTTTGCTGCGTGGGTGAGTGTGTGGCACTCATGAAGACAGCCAACTGACTCACCTCCTGCCAGAAAATGAAGACATACAATTAACATCGCATCCCATCATCCTCAGCTGAGCAGGCAGGCCTGTAATTGGCTAGCTGACCAGCCTGCGTGGCTTCGGGTGGCAATTTATTCTGGGAGCCATGCAGTTTACCCTGGGCGCCTAACGGCCCCTGTGCCATAACCTGGCTGAGGCAGCGGGGGCATCATTAACACTTCACTGGGCTGCAGGACACATACACATCTTTCTCATCACTGGCACAAGCACCAAATTGGATCAGCAGGCCAGAAATAATCATAAGTGTGTCAACGCAGGCACTTAAGCAAGTCCATTCACTGATCAAGGTAAATGTGCCTTCAAAAATACCCAAAATGAGTAGTACACACTGGTCTCATTCAATGGTTTCTAATTCTGACCTGTGCAACTGACAGTTACCTCAGTTCAAAACAATGTGTGACAGAGCCTTGAGTAATGACCTTGTTTCGTCTGGAGGAGGCATGTGTCTGTCCCATGAAGACTCTTTATGTGCCATTTAAAGTCTGCATCTGCTGTCTGGACCCCACAGCTCCATCCACTGTCCTTAAGAAACAAGATGAGGCACTGGGGGAAAACACTGGTGTTTAAAAGACACATCACAGCTGACTTCATTTTTGTAGATGTTTTTATACACGTTATCATATACTTTTAAAGAAACACTTCATTTAGATCCCAACAGAAATTCTCATCTTGTCAGCTCTCCGCAGTCATATTCCCAGTTCACACATTTGCTCCATCAGGACTCCGTTTGCTCTGATTACACACACAATTCCACACACTTCCTAACGCACAGAGGCTCACAGCCAAATGGCTGTTCATTAAAGACAGGGACCTGAGGGGAAGCAATCGTCTGCAAGACGGAAATTGCGTGTCACATTAGATTAGCAAAGTAAACCCTCTGGATTGGCTCCGGGGAATAAGGAATTATTTCAATTACATTATTTCAAAAACTCTTTAAGCAATACCAATACCAATAAAAACAAATTAAGAGTGATTTGGGCTGATTTGTGGTACTCTGTGCAGTGCTTTCTGACACATGGTGTTATTTGTCAGAGTTCGAAATAGATCACCTGTGACAAATAAAACTATATTTTTTAATAATGTTGCATCAAAAGTGTTTTGCCACTTCAGTCATGCTACCCTAAAGTGGCCTCTATAATCTGCCAGTGCCAGGGCAAAATCTACTAACAACTCCACCAAACCCCATTCAAACAACACAGTCTCCAAAGTGGTTCACTGTTTAAACAAAGACCTGCTTTTCTCAGTTCACTATAGGACAGGACAGAAGTTGATTAAAGTCTTTTCTTTGTGCGTAAAAGAGCGATATTCTGTGTCAGAGCGGTTCAGGATCCGCGGTCAAGAAGAGGGAGGAGGGAGAGGGAGAAGGGGAGAGGAGGAGAGGGTAGAGGAGGAGAGGGGACTGTCGCACGGAGCTCCAGCAGCTCCACAAGCTCACATCCACAGAGACGCACAGCACCAGACTCTGTCCTCACTGTCCTCACTGTCCTCACTGTCCCCGGAGCCTCCTGCAGCCGGAGCAGCTGCCGGGACTCGCGTGTACGTGTGAGTGTGCGTGTGCGTGTGCGGCGTCCGGAGCAAGTTGACAAAGTTGGAACCAGAGGAGACAGACGCGCTCCCGCCGCTCCGCAGTGAGTATTGTACGAACTTTCACGGAGGAATAGGACGGTGTTCTTCAGGTTTGTCGGGGTTTGTTGTGTTGTTTTACCGTCAGCGCGGATAGCACGTGGCGCTGTAGAACTTCTCGGAGCGTCATAATGATTGACAAAAGATAAAAGTTACTTATGAGATAACTTTATCGTTCTTTTTAAATTAGGCTTCATGTGGAGGTTAAAGTTGCCACTTCACTTTCTCGAACAAGAATCTCTCTCAGACTTATTTGTTTGGATTTGTTCACCGTAGCGGGAAAAAACCCCCAACTAACTAATAGTGGGTTTTTTTTAAATTAAAAGCAGTTTTTTTTTTAAAAAATGTCTCAAAATATAAAAGGACAAGCAAGTTATAAAAAGGAAATAAGAAATTCACAGCCTAGAGAAAATGTATGTGTTATTTAATTATATGTGTATTTAATTTAAACTTCGAATTTGATGTTGATGGCTTATTAGTAATGGTGATAATACACAATTAGGTAAAATTAGAATTATTAATAGTAATTAATATTTAATGTTGAATATTTGATTACTTTTAGGGCGTTTTAGGGCAGCAGCTGACTCAAAAAGACACCAGTCACCTTAGGTCTATGTTTTACTTATTATGATTTATTTTTGTGTGTTTGTGTGTATATCTATAAAGCCATTAGGTGAATGGACCTCCATCGACCTTTCAAGATGGACAGCCCAGCATACCTGCCTGCTCCTCTGGCATCTCCTGCTCTCATGGTCTTGGCCTCCACTGCCGAGGCCGGCCGTGATGCTTCTGTGCCCTCCCAGGCACCCAGGCCTTTTGGGGTTCCAACGTCTGTGGAGAAGGACCTGCACCTTCCTTTCCCCTCGGCCTCCTACACTTTCACCTCCATGTACCAGCGACAAGGCCCCCTATCAGGCACCTTCAGCCCCAGAGACTTCCACGCCTCCCTGCTCCACCTGCACCCACAGTTTAGTGCCCCAAACCTGGACTGCTCTCCTTTGGGCATGCTCAGCCACAGCAGCATCGGAGCCTTCAGACCCTTCTCCTCACCTCCAGACGACAGGGAGCCAGGGGGGTATCAGTCGGCTTTCACCCCTGCAAAGAGGCTCAAGAGCTGTTTCCCTGATGTGGAGGGCAAGGACTTTGACTTTGGCTCTTCAGGGAGCGCTCACAAAACAGCAGAGGACTCTGGGAGGAGGTTGTTTTCTATGTCAGGCCTGCTGTCTGATGGTGAGACTTCATCGAGCCCAGAGGAACGCAAAGAGCACTGTGAGTAATGTACTGTAATTTACAATTACTGGCCAACTGGAAGTTATTGTTTCATATTAACATAATTAGGATTATACAAATACTTTTCTTTCCATGTTATCAGAGAAAAAACTAAATTAAATAGTTCCTAAACCCTCATTTATGTCACAATTGTGGATGCTTCGACTGCTCTGTCCGTGTAAATATGAAATAAGATATAATCATCATTATAGAAAAAAGATTAAATATATATATTTTCAACCTATTAAAACAACCGTTTAGACAAATATGAGGAAGCCTCCCCTGTGTGCACTTTGGTTGTTAACATGTAGTCAGGCAAAGTGTTTACAGCAGCTGCCTGTGCCCAACTTTGACACCCCTAAATTGAACAGTGTCAGTCATTCAGCTCAGTGATCATTAGCCACATATGACCATTAGGCCTATTGGAAGTCAGGCGCTGCTGCGGCGGGAACACAAATACATGGGTGCGTATGGAGAGTTGACATAGGCGGAGTGAGAGTTGGTACGAATGACACCCTGTCAGAGATAACGAGGTGGCAGAGATAGAGCAAGGGATGGAGGAGGATGGAGAAAAATAAAGACAGAGAAAAAGAGGGCGATGCAATGATGCACCGCAGCCCGGGCTCCCAACGACAAGCCCTCAGCTCAATATGGCCGCCCACACCAGCCGTCTGATTTGTTGACAAATGAGTGGGAGAGGTGTCAGTCAGTGTGTAGCGCAGAGAGATGCTTCTCATTACTCCAGGGGATAATTGCCCAACGACGCGGGGGCACAACACACTCGCCTTAGAGGCAAATGTGAGGGAGAGAGGAAGCGGGGACCAGGCAATGCTAGGCATGATGGGAAATCAAACCCCCTCAGCTGCGGTCGCCAAGGGGAGCGCCTGACAGATGAAAGGGACCAGTGGAAGATGGAGACAGAGCACCCAAAGGCGCAGCAGATCAGAGTGGGATACCACAGAAAATAATGACAATGGGGCAAGTGAAAGCAGGCTGATACCTGCACGCATACACATCACCTAAAGAAAACTTTCATCCCACACATAAAGGGCGGCTGCAGGGACAAGCGTCTTAAGAAAAGTTTGGTTTGTGAGCCAAGAGTGTGTTTCTTCTGTATGCAGATGTGTGTGGTGTTGTAGAAACTTGGTGATTTTGTTGGTGGCGGAGACTGAGTGACAGGGCCAAGGAGGCGGAGTGGCAGGGAGGAATCTCAATATGGAATTTTAATAAGGACGAGATGCAGGCGCGTTGGTTTGAGAGGTGTGTCTGTCTGACAGTGTTTGGTCTGAGCATAGTGCGCTCGCACCTCCTGATTTTGGGAATTTCATTTGAGGTATGTGACAAGGACAAAATATGGGCTTCATTACAACATGCACAGAGAAAAATGTCCCTAAAAATGGATTGCATAGGAAGCTGCTGCTCCAGCTTTATCCAATTAGATTTGAGCTCAGGCAAACTAAGAGCTTTAATGCAATTGAGCTGCAGCACTTTTCTAAGTCTGACATGCACTTGTTCCTCTTGACTGGGCAACAGACAGTCACTTCAGGACCAAAGTCTTAAGTGTTAAGCCTGAAATCTCCCTGTATCTGTCTCCAATGCTGTCTGGTGTTCTGTGTGGTATAAAACGACACAAATGTAGTTGAAGTGGCTGAGAAAATGTGATATTTTAACAAGAAAATAACGTCTATTATTTGGTTTCTTCATATTGACAATTAGGGCTGGACTAGGTACTTTTTGTCCTGAGTTTTATCAGAAGCCCAGAGATACGGTGCGTACTGACAGCTGTTCAAACAGCCATGCTCCCTTTCAAAGGGCAGATGTCTTCACTGGAGCGAGTCATGCTTACTTTCCTGAGGGAGATGCTTTCCTCCGCAGGCCAGAGGTTGTCCATGACTGGTCTTGACCAGAAAAGTTTAGAAACTAAAGAAAAAAATTGTGAAACACTCAGTGGCTCCAGTGCATTCAAGCTTCATCTTATGATTAAAGTCATGTTAACTGTTTTTAACATTTGACTAACTGTAGTATATGGGTGCTTTACGCTGTGATTGTCTCTCCTGATTTGATAAAGGCGTATTTTGGTACAGCTGCCTGTTCTTTTTATTGAGTGCTTCCAGTTGAAAGACACAGTGTTTACATCCCACTGGCAGACCACAGGAGATCAATGAGAACCACTCGATGCTCATGCATACGCATATAGTGTCTGGTGTTATTCCCATGGTGTGTGTACATCCTGTCAAGCATGTCCACTCAATGCTGTGATCGTCAGGAACACCATATGCCTTCACCCACTCTCCATTTCCTCCTGTTCAAGTAACGGTACAATAAAGTCAATTGTCACGCACAAAACTGAGCAAAGAAATGCTTGTGGTGTAAACTTGTGTGGATTTGTTCTTATTTTTCCTTACACTCGTAGATGTTTTGTTTACACATTTTTGGCCTGGACAGTTTTGCTTCTCCCAGCAGCCCACTGACCACACTGCTTGTGCTGTGGCTGATCTCAAACAGTGGAGGAGGAATGGTTACATTATTAAAGGTGGTGGTGTTTGATGTAAAAGCAGTCCGTGGTTCACTGTTCCCCTCCTGTTGTGACTCGAGTTTGTTCTCCTAATGTTCTCTATGTAAAAAGACTTTCATCTTGGCAGGAGGGGAAGCTTCTTTCCACTGTATCCACTCTGCCTTCACTATAAAGAGCTTTTTGCCCCTGTGTTGACTTGTTTTAATGCATGATGTGTGTGGGCAGACAGTGCCGGCCAGCGGACCCCACCACGCGTGAGAATCAGACTGCTTTCTTATAAGTCTGTCTTTTACGGCAGCGGAGGGAGATGTGTATTTGTGAGGGGACTTTTTGAGGTGAACATGAGCACCTGTTTGACTCAACGTCCTGCTATAATTTGAAGCATAGTAAGTTGGCCACATCTGTCATCACAGTGCTGCTTCTGTGCGGCTGGACAGAGAGCGGCCATAATGAGGACTGGGCTCCACGGGCAATGGGACAACTGCTATTCTGTAACACTGTAGAATCGCCCACACTGTAAAGCAAATGTTATACAGCTTTTTTGGCAGCTGATGTCTGGTTTAAAACTATTCCAATAAAACATCATTTGTGGAATAGTATTTTTAAAGAATACAGGTTTGCAAAGTCTTGATTTCTCTCCCTGACCTGTGTGTTTTTACATTTGTTTTTTGAAAATGTAAACGTAAAAATAATGCCACAGACAAATACATTATCTTGTTTATATATATAATAATTTAAAAAACTATACTAATTCTACTTATACAACTACTTTATATTTAATGTTCGGTCTCCTCAAATAGTAAAAACATGGCAATAAACATATATTTGTTAAATCTTATTTATTAAATTATTGAAATGGATCATGCACTACAGCTCCATACATTTATGAGACTAATGTACTATATTAGTTTGTAGTATCAGTGTGTTATCAACCTATTCTACAAAAAAAAATAGAACACAAGACTGAGACTATATTTGATCATCACAATGAATGTATTATTTTGAATGATTTTCAGTTCAGAAATGATGTGGAAAGAAAAAAAAAAGATTGCAAATACATAGAAATATTGACAAATTTCTTATTAATAGGCCAACATATGATTTCACCAGACTTCCTTCCTCGTATCGCCTCTTCTCCCTCTTCATCCCTCTTCATCCCTCTTCATCCCTCTGCACCTGATCGACCTGCATCTTCACCGCTTCTGATCTCACATCAAAGAGCCCCTCCATGTGGCTCCAGGCGAGGCTATTGCTGTAGATTAAATCACACACTCACTCTCTCTCACACACACACACATACACACACACGCACATGCACACACACACATACACACACACGCACATGCACACACAAGCACACACGTCCCAATGCTGTCCCCTGAGCTTCACAAATCAGTTAGGCCGATCGCGAGGGCGGTGAGGCCAAACTGTGGGTTAAACGTATGCCACAGAGGAGCAGCGCAGACAGACAATGTGACCATCCAATTTCCTCGTGGACAATCAAGAAGGGTCTTTCTTGACTTTAGTTTTTATTCAGAAAATACCCTTATAATTAAGATGCCATTAGTTTGCTCTGTAGGAAAAGGAATTCCATTATATATAAATACATAATACATTATGGATGAGCGATTCATCAAATTATCTTGGATCAAGATTGCCCAATGCACCATGTACTGGCTTAAAGACTTTTCATTGGAACCATTTTCACCTAAATATTTAACACTTAATAAATTATAATGTATTATCTTATTTGACAACCTGCACTGTTATATATTATAATGTTAGAATGCCTTCATATCTATTGACTATTGTATCACTTGTTTTTGTACCATACCAGTTTGTAACTTCTGATATAGAAGGGATCTCTTTTTAGCCATAATGTCCATCCAATTAACATATTTATATGATTGTTGAAGGATTAGAAAAAAGGTTTTTATACCAATCTTTTCTTGTTTCATGTCAGTGTTAATCTTGCATGAATTTAAAATCTACTTTTATAGAAACAGCAATGCTGGTCAAAATTAAAAAAAAAATCAGTTAAAAACATTTTTTTAATATATTTTTGAATTGGAGTCATCCTTTATGGATGTTTGAACAAAATTTGTTCTCCGTTGATTAGCTTGGATTCCAGTTAGTTGTGTGGTGATGAAAAGTATTAGTTTTTGTACAAAAAACATCTCGATAAGAGGATCTTACTGTGGTCTCAAATACAGTCTCTAGCAGCAAGTCTATTCATGAAGATAATATGAGATAAGATCGACTTTATTGGTAGTATTAGTAGCAAAATGTAGAATAGTAACAACATTATAAGTAACAAATGTGTAGACAATGCACAAAGACATGGCATTTCCATGAATATCTTGCACTGTACACGGTTCCATACATGGAATGCCCGTTTCTCGGCCGCACTAAAATCTTTAGAGTTTCCCTAAGCCATACAAATATTCATATTGCTCCATTGTTGAGTGTTTGGTGGTGCCAGAGACAGGCCTC